AGGTCTCTTTGCAAAAAAATTACGCACGTGATTATAGTATAACTATATAAACAGTGTAATAAGTAGGTATTAACAATTACTCAACTATTTTTTAATAGATTAAGTGTGACAAACGAGCACATAGTTCACCCGTCTAAATATTACACATCACTACATCAATTTTTAAAAGGGTCTCCGGTTCTCTAGAATTACCATAGAAAGCACAGCAGCATTAAGCTGCTATTTTACCCAGGTATTCTGTGACAGCCGGATGCTTCCCCGGTCGAGCCGACTCTTTCGTGCTACATTCATATTTTACATACTACATTACTGCTAGTACCAGTTGAAACAAGATTCGCCTCAGCAAATTTGTGTTTCTTTAATGGGAAACAATTTCGTTTTTACTTTTTAAATTAAATAATTTCAGTAAAAAAAGTGAGAGATGAATTTTTGTGTGGTGATGGCGATAGAGAATCATCATCTCATTACATCCCATGAGTGTCATAAGGTGACTATAAATAAAATAAATGTATATACAACTATATATATATATATATATATATATATATATATATATATATATATATATATATATACATATATCAACAATATTGATTCTACGTCCTTTCATTCCGCATTATTGTAGCGTCCACCACTTGTAGGCAATTTTTATACATTATGACGGCGAATATTGGTCCATTAAACAATTTCAAAGATAGCGTTTAACTCATTTCTTTGAAAATTTACCATATGTCGACATACAAATATTCGTATATTTCCGGACGGAGGGAAACCAATTAGGACTCCCTTCCATATTACAAATTATCCAGAATCCCCGTAATATATGTACATAGTTTTTAATTCATTCTTCTGCTTAACGCAATTCCTTTGTATGGTGCGACGTTGCCACTCTTATTAGTTATTCCACTTTGTAATATTTTATTTATAGGTAATATTTTGTTTATGTAGGTATTCGATAGATTCCTATAGTCTGTTTTTTTCGCAGGAGACAAAAATAACAGAACTTTATTAGATTTGTTTAACATGAATAATACAGTTTTTATGATTCTGGTTCAGATTAGATTTAATTTTAGTCACAGAATGTGCAGTTACGAAAAATACGAAATATCATTTTTGTCTTCGGCGAAAAAAAAAACAGATAGATATCATTATTAATTTACCAACTAGTTATTCGTTTAGTAAAAACGAAAAAATATCTAGGATTCCCAACCGTGATACGTTATAGATTGAATATATTATTATTTATTTTACTATTGTAAACAAGTACTAATTGTAGATATTGTCAGGTTTAATAGAAGTTCGTTTTCTTATATTGTGACTAATAACCTAATATGACCTTAGGAGGAAACTCATTTTAATATAAGGTTTTACGGCATTAATTGCCAATGGGTTGTTAATTTCTACAATAAACCGTGGCGTATTGTTGCTGACATGTATAACTCCGAAAATATAATTTGTTTACTTGATCGTATTGAGTTTTGGTGCTCTCACTGCGAGTTTACTTTTTATGATCACTATTTAAAGATGAGTGCGAACTATTTACCTAATCTGTACAAAATACTCTCTACTTAACCAGATTCTTTTTTGTGAAAGGCTATTTTTGTTAAATTATGATATTATTTTTGGTTTTGCAGTTAGTTGAAATACAATTTGATGTGTTTGTTTGGTTGCAATTTGTTTGGTTATAAATATTGGACGCTATATTACTAAAACATGCATATCGTGCTCTAATTGGCGTCCGTATTGTGACCCACGCACATTGAGAACTTTCCACGCTTATGCTTGCTTGCATTTAAGTTTCCTAGGTTATATTTAGTAACTTAGGTAAATAAACTTGTGTAAATTGATTAATGTACTTGACATGGAAATTGAACGGTGCATTTACCCATATACGGACGTAAGAATATCCTAAAATATTCACACTAAGTTTTATTTGACGTCCACTTTTTCGATATCCGATGTCCAAAGTTGTTGTTGATTATTGCATTTTACTATTTATTTATGTTGATTATTTATTTAGTGCTCAAGGCATATTTTTGTTTTTTTGCCGGTTAATTTTGTACTCAGTGCTTATTAGATAATTTTACTTTCCAATTTGTTTTCGTGTCCTTAGATTTAGCTACATATAATAATATTATGGACGTCCGAATATCCTAAAACATTCATACTGAATGATATTTGACGTACATATTTTCGAATTTCGTTATATTTCTATATGTGGACGTCAGATTATCGGTAAAGTTTAATACTGCATGATATTTGACGTCCATATAACCATGAATACATTAATATTTTAATTACTTATGTATAAGACACACATTAATGATCATTGCTTTAATGACATTTTCGTTATAGTTTTATTCGTATTTTAGTGTAGGGAAGCCATGCGGTGTAAAATAGTCACTTTGGTGTTTTATAAAATGTTTAGTTCTAGAAATGATAAAACGCTTAGAAGCTTAGAAAACGTGTGTGAAAAATTAATTTGTATTTCAAATAACTGTAAAAACAAACATAATATCATAATTTAACAAAATAGTCTTTCACAAAAATGAATCTAGTTAAGTAAAGAGTAATTTCGTACAGATTAAGTACAATAGTCGCACTCATCCTCAAGATGCAGTGAGAGCACGAAAACTCAACACGATCAAGTAAATAAATTATATTTTCGGAGTTATTCATGTCAGCAACAATATGCCAAGGTCTAATGTAGTTTACAACCTATTGGCAGTTAATGCAGTAAAACCCTATATTAAAATGAGTTTCTTAGCCAGACCATATTAGGTTATTAGTCACAATATAATAAAACAAACTTCTATGAAACATGTCAATATCTACAATTGAGTCCATATTCCTGTACTCAATCAGAAGGTAACCTATACTCAAACAGAAGGGTTGCTTACGAAATACCTAACAAGATTTCTTTTAGGCAGATTAGTACCAAATGTAAAAATGTTAAAATGTAGTGAAGCATGAAATGAACCGATAGGCCGACGTCCGCTTTCTACATTTACAAAAATATAACTAAATTCAAAAATACGGGTGTCAAATATCATTCAGTATGAAAGTTTTAGGATATTCGGACGTCCATATTATATATAGGTAAATGTAAGGTTAAGAAAACAAGTTTAAAAGTAAAATTACTAGTACCAAGCGCATATAATAATGTCCTGCAGACCGAATTACGGTCACGGCGGCCCGCCTCAACGGAGACTAGCCATCAGCGCAGGACAGGATTATAGCGCCCAAGTGTATGCGCAACCACAGGTGCACTCTCTATTCCCTCACTCTCATAATCCGATGGGACGGTAAACCGACACGACCGGAGAGAGATCAGGCGCAGGACCAACGGCTTTACGTGCTTTCCGAGGCACGGGGGTGAGACACCGCCAACTTCCTGACTCGGGCAGCTATTGAGAATTTCTTGACAGAAAAACTCAATAATTGATTTTTTGTCCCGACCCGGGATTCGAACCACGATCAACAGTCGCACTACTAAAACCACTAGAACAACGAGGCATAATCATATATCACCAAATACAAGTCACACGTTGGCAACGGTGACGGAAAGGCAACGTCGCATCTCCTAATTTTATGCGGAAGTCAAATACGGCCATAAATGAAAGTATTCACAAATCGACAGCAGCGCTATTATTTTTACAACGAAAATTAGCGGAACTACGTAAATATTCAGTACAGCAAGATTGGAAGAAAAATGGCGTCCAATTTTTTTTAGATTGACATTTCTGTAATCAGCATGACAATTTGCGAACATTGCGCTAAATCTCCTTCTTTAAAAAGATTTATTAATAAAAACTTTAACCTTTAACAATTTTAAGTTTTGAGTGGTCCACTTATAGATAGACATATGTACAGTGAATTCGTGAGAGACTCATATGACAGTGATAATGATGATGACGATAGTGATTTAAATATAATAAAAGCGGTTTGAATGCAAGCTTGCCGCCGAGTGACATGTTGTGACTCTCAACGGGTACTCTTTACTTGCTACCAGTCTCAAGGGATCGTAAATCAACTATCAACTATACACACGGCTGTATACATTTATTTTTCCTAAAATAAAAATATTTACATATTACAACACTGACTTAAAATGCGTTTTATATTGAATTTGATTGAAATTCTACAATGTTATTCAAAGTTATTACATCCCAAATTATTATATAAATTATTATACAATCATGAACATTCATTATTTTAATAGCTAATATATTACACAACAAGAAATTAATAAGAGATTTATTATAGTCAACCAAATCTAAGAAATACGTTTTGACAGATGACAAACTTATTGCACCAAGCATACCAACCAAAAAATAGGAACGTACAATATTCGATTCTTAAAAAATTGGTAATCACTTACAGTTTGATTTGAATAAATTAAAAACGGATAATTTAAAACACAAGATTTATCAGTTTATTCGTATTTTTTGTTACTGTTTATTATGTAGAGGATATGTTATACAAAATTAAGATTGAAACTAGAATAAAAGTAAAATTATTCAATCACTTGCGGTACAACTAGTTGAGCTGTCCTTGTTTAAAATAATTATTATTTGATTTTCAATAATGCAGTTAAAAATTAATTTCCCTTTCAGTCATCCATAATATTTTTTTTAGATTTTTCGTCCACTTTTGCCCCATCACACTTCCAAAAAGTTAAATCCTTTTGTCCAAAAAATTAAAACCGAGTCACAAAATAAGAAAACAAACACAAAATCACAAAATTACGCCCGAAATGGCGGGAGATTGAAATTACGTATTGGTGTTTTCAGCGCTGCCTTATATGAGTTATTTTGCCTAAAATTTAAGTTGACAAAGTAAAAAAATAAATAAACTTGTTTTATTCATGATTCATGTAATTTAAAAGTGCAAAGATATTGGAGAATGATTAATGTGAAACGCGAAAAGGTATTTCTTAGATTTAGTTGACTATAAAACAAACGTTAATGTTTTTTTAAATTAAAATAAGCGACACTGAGTTACTTTTTCCTTCTTAACAATTTTTCTTGTATTTGATCTTTGGTGAGACCTTTAGTTTCAGGTACGAGGAAGTAGCTAATGAAACCATTGGAAATGGCGCAGCAAGCGAACGTGTAAAAAGAGCCGTGGATACCGATGTATTTAACCATAAAAGGGAAGACTCCAATGATGAAGAAATTGGAAAGCCAGGCCAATTCTATTAGTAGTATAGTCGCTAAACTTTGTACCTGAAAATGGAGTAATGAGATATATATATTATTTTAACCCATTTTGCACGCCTCCAACTGGAAGCGGAGAGGTTGGGTTCTACCATCGACTTGATAATGTCACGCTACTCGCCCTTATGAAATCCGGTTTACTATTTTTATATATACCTCTCCTTATAAAGCATAATAATACATAAAATTAAATCAAAATATGTGGACCTCAGCCGACCGAAATTACTTCTGTAGTCGTCTCTGCGAACGGGCTTATCCCAGTCAGCCTCTCGGTTCATGTGAGGTGACTGGGATCAGAAATGGACCGCTCCGGACTCAAATGCAGATGGCGGTGCTTCACGAAACGGCCCGAATCGCGCGCCAGTTTCTTTCTCTTTCCTCGTAGCCTTCGGCCGTTTGATTTCCCTTGCCGAGGGCTTCGATCTGATTGGATTTTTATTTGTGTATGTATTATTTATTTATTTATGTTAGCAAGTAAATTATATATATATATATATATATATATATATATATATATATATATATATATATATGTATGTATGTATGTATGTATATATATATATATACACATATATATATACATATATATACACACATATATATATATATATACATACATACATATTGCACGCCTTAAGCACAAAGCGCGTAGGTATAATCTACTAACGCCTAAAAATCAAGAATCCAACGCTTTGTTGCATGAAATGTATCTAACAATCATATTGAACATAATATAAATGATAAAACATATTGTCAGAAAGATAAATCATTGTTGAACTTTTTTTTTAATCGATTAATTGCTAACTTTATATTTAGTGGCTTATGATGTAGATTTATCAAGTCCGCAGGGATGGGTTAGCACTATAACTTTTGAAAATATCATTTGTACAAATCAATCTCTTTTTTAATCTCTTCGTCTATCATGTGGGAAGCATTGGAATGTAAATGGAAAATTAATTTTGTTTTGTTCAGTTATAATTAACTTGTCTCGGCTGATAAATTCCGTAATTTTCAATGTTTTTAGCAGCTTTGCAATAATTTATTTTATTTAATACACTTTGAGACTTTGCGTCACTTCAGCCTTGGCCGCCGTCGTGAGTGGATTACTGTATTGTTTGTTTATAGCGGCTCGTAATGAAAAATATCGATCGCTGTAGAAATACAAAGTATTCCAAAAACCATACTACGTAGTTTTATTATGAGTGACGACCATACTTCACCAAGGTAAGATATTATGATTATTTTTATAATCACAGATTTTTATTACAATATATTGTTTCCCTAAAAGTACAACTTAAAGTACATAGGATTTATATATAATACTTATACTTCTTGGAGTTTATGGAGTGACCTGCAGTTCTGTTTCGGTATATGCTACTGGAACTCGTCGACGAGTAGAACAAGATTATACTCCTTATGCGTTTTTAGAGCGACACTAAGGGACAAACATACATACATACATATGTAGGCTAATAAACACGTTACCATGCGACCAAAGCGCTAAGAGCGATCTCTTTCAGGCAACATTTACCACTAAACTGACTCTATTAACTATTTGAAATAATAATACCTACCTCGGGCATGAAACATTCACCCATCAATACGAAAGGTATGCTTCCGGCTCCATACATGTAGGAGAAACAGTACACCAGGATGAGCGCTGCAGTCACCCACGGTGGCACAATACCAGTCTGCAGGGATATGCCCATAGAGCAGACGCAAAGGGCTACCAACATCGACGAAGTTACTAAAAGGAACTGAAAAATCAAATATAAAATCATTATTAAATTACAGCCGTATGTAGGTATCGTAAGAGAAACCATACAATAATTCGGCCACCCACGGGACGGCGTTGTAAGAGGTGACTATGAAAAAATTCGGAAAAATCTAATTCATTTAATCATCCATTAATGACAGCCTGTCAAAGTCCACTGTTAAACAAAGGTCTCTTAAAACATTGCCTCATTAATGCAGGTATGGCATCTGAGGTAATTTATTTTATAGTTGCTATTAGGAAGACGCTGTTGCCCATATTGTAGTTAGTTTCGCTTCTTAACAAACCCAGGGGATCATATGTTGAAGTGGATATTCAAACACTGACACTAGATGGTACTAAAGTCTAATTGACTTTCGATAAATAGCGTTGGAACTATCCCATTTACGCCAGACGTAAAATATTCAGACCAACGTCAAACAGCAGCGTCAAAACTGCTAGACTTCTGATCCTCAATCTACCTAATAACCATATTGCTGAAGGAAAATTCTCAACATAACGAAAGAGGCCCATTTCCAGTAGTGAACTATTACTGACTGATGATGAAAATTATGATGACGAACAAGTAACAAATGGAACATAAACTGAACCGAGCTTCACTAAATATTACGCTTGGTGGACAAAACACTCGAACTTAGATCTATGAACCACACACTGACATTTTGCACTAGGAGTGCATACAAAGGCGATGGAGGATGACGATAATAGGTTAAATAGATTATAGTTACATACCTTTCTTCCAAACTTGTCAGCCATCACAAGACTTGACAAACTTCCAACGAGAAGGACCGTAGCTAACATAACGCAACAGAAGTTAGACGACAGACTTGGGGCTGCTTGGGTAAAAATCTGTTTCGCGTACACTTGCACGGGTAACACGCCCATCATGACCTGCAAAATTTCAACACTGTTACAATAAAGATATTTTTGCTAAATGCTATTACAAAATACTTTTTTGAAAGTTTCAAAACACTCACAGTATACCAACATAAAATAGAACATAGTACTGCGCTGTGTTTCGTATGGTGGGTGTAGAGAACCGAAGACCCTTTTTACTGGAAACGAGGCATTCTATCGAAGTCCTCAGGGATGACAACGCATCTGCGTTTTGATTATTAATATACTATACTTATAAAAATACTCCTGACCGACTAACTGAATAATCTAGTAACGTACAGCCTAAACCACCGAAGTTATTAACTTGAAATTTTGACAGTAGGTTCTTTTAAGACGTTGGCGAGCACTGAGAACGGACTTTTTTGGGTGAAATTAGGGGTTAAAGTTTATATGAAAGTCCGTCATTTTTCAAGTTATATTCATGAAATTCGGTATTAACCTAAATAGCTTTTAAATTAAAAACAGAGTTACGTATTTCAGTTTTTGAAAATTCTACCCTTAAAGGGTAAAAATAGGGTATGATAATTTGTAAATAAATCCGTCATTTCTCATGTTATGTATATGAACTTTAGTAATTTGGCTTCTGATTAAAATAAAGAGTTAATGTGTTTTACAGTTTTTAAAAAAGTTCTATCCACAAAGGGGTTAAATAGGCGTTAAATAATTGTATGATAGTCCTTTCTTTTTCAAGTTATTTTTCAAGATAAGCTTATGTACCTTAGTATTTTGGCTATAGATTAAAATGAAGAAGTACATATTTTACACTTTTGATACTACTTTTGATCTACCTCCGACGTAAATTAGGGATTGATAATTTGTATAAACGTCCGTCATTTTCAATTTATGTATATTGTGACGGCCCAATATTATTATTAATAATTAAATTCAATATAAAGGGGCGTCAAAAATTGTCTTAAAAGATATATATTAAGCAATTAAGTTAAATTAATAAACATAAAGTTAATATATTTCAGACATTATCCCAATAACATAGTAAATTAAAGGCAAAATTATTGTTTTTCGTAATAAATAAATTTATTTAAAAACTTGAAAAAATATTTAAAATAAGATAAATAATAGAAACACAAGTCAAAAAATATTATAAAATTGAGTTAAATAACGTTTATAAGATAATTAGAAAATTTGTTAAAAATTGTTTAAGTCATGGGAGGTGTGGAAGGATTTCACGTATAGATGAAGTTTTTTCTTAAGGTTTAACAGTGGTAGAGCCACGCGGCAGCTTTGCTGTCGCACGTATGGGCCGGCTCAAACCGGGGTGGTACCACGACCTCACAGAATACCGGCGTGAAGTGGAAGCTCTGCTTCCGCGTTTCGTCTGGTGAGTGCAGGTGGCCGGAGGCGCAACTCCCCCCCCCCCCCATCAACATGGTAGCGGAATTAAATGATAGACTACCCCAGGAGGGTACCAGCACCCCTGGAGAATCCCTCGCTGAGCATCCACGACCATGTTTCTCCACTTCTGAGCGTGGGTGCTCAGGCTGCCCCGCGTATTCTGGGGGGGGGGCAATATTCCGCTCAAGACTAAAACTGCTCGGGGCAAACGGAGCAACAAGACCAAGGCGACCCCTGCCACGCTGTCCGTGAATTTCTGCAATATCAGGGGACTTCACTCTAACCTAAACGCCGTCCACTACCATCTCGAGACGGCGAGACCGGCTCTGCTCTTTCTGACCGAGACGCAGGTGACCTCTCCGGCTGATGTCTCGTATCTCTCCTGCCCGGGGTACAAACTGGAACACTCCTTTGTGCCTCGGGCTGGAGTTTGCGTTTACGTCAGAGAGGACATCTGTTCTCGACGCCTCGGCAGACTTGAAGGTTCGGACCTGTCCATCTTTTGGCTACGCGTAGACAGCGACGACCATCCGCTCGTCTACGGGTGCCTCTATAGGTCCCATAGCGGTAATGCCGAAACAGACCGACTCTTCGACCACGTTCAAGTGGCTGCAGATTCGTTGCTACAGCAGATCCCCTCCGCAGAGATCGTGATCCTCGGCGACTTTAACGCCCATCACGCCGAATGGCTCGGTTCACGTTTAACCGATCATGCGGGGAGATCTGTTCATGATTTTGCCTTGGCATATGGTCTGACACAACTGGTTACTTCGCCTACGCGGATTCCAGATGTGGAGGATCATGCACCTTCCCTGTTGGACTTTCTGCTGACCTCTCACCCGGACGGATATCAGATTTCCGTCGACGCACCTTTAGGCTCCTCGGACCATTGTCTTGTCCGGAGTGTGGTGCCACTCACGCTGAAATCGCGGTTGCATTCTGCAGGCTGCCGCCGTGTTTGGCACTATAGGTCAGCCGATTGGGATGGGATGCGGTCTTTCTTTGCATCCTACCCTTGGGGGCGGGTTTGCTTCTCGCCGGATGATCCCAACGTTGTTGCGGATTCTGTCGCTGATGTGGTACTTCAGGGTATGGAACTTTTTATTCCTTCCTCTGTGGTGCCCATTGGAGGCAAATCTCAGCCATGGTTTGGTCGCTCCTGTAAAATAGCATCATGCTATAAGCAGGAGTGCTACCGAGCCTGGGCTGACGCATCAGCGTCCAGGGATGTAAACACCAGCGCTCTAAAAAAGAAGTATAATTCCGCCTCTAGGTCCTTCAAAAGAGTTATTGCCAAGGCAAGGTCAGAGCACATAGGCAGAATTGGCGAGAGACTAGTTCGTCAACCTTCTGGAACCCGTGCATTCTGGTCTCTCGCCAAGGCTGTCCAGGGGAATTTCTGTCAGCCATCTCTTCCATCTCTGCACAGGGAGGACGACTCACTGGCCCACACCGCAAAGGAGAAAGCCGATCTTCTAGGCTCTTTCTTTGCGTCTAACTCGACTCTCGATGACGGGGGGAGTACGCCGCCGACCATCCCGCGGTGTGAGTGCTCCATGCCGGAAGTGCAGTTCACTCAGCGCTCGGTTCGCAAAGCACTCCTCTCCCTGGACATCTATAAGTCAAGTGGGCCTGATGGAATCCCCCCAATTGTGCTGAGGACGTGTGCTCCAGAGTTGGCACCGGTTTTAACGCGTCTTTTCCGGTACTCCTACTCCCTAGACGTAGTCCCAAAATCATGGAAGACGGCTTTCGTCCCCCCGATCCCTAAAAAAGGCGACCGCTCAGACCCGTCCAACTACCGACCTATTGCCATCACCTCCTTGTTCTCCAAAACAATGGAGTCCATTGTAAACTGCCAGCTCATGAGGTACCTTGAGGATCACCAGCTGATTAGTGACCGCCAATACGGTTTTCACCGTGGTAGGTCAGCTGGTGATCTTCTGGTCTATCTAACTCACAGATGGGCGGAGGCAGTAGAGTCCAATGGGGAGGCATTGGCCGTTAGTTTGGACATTGCGAAGGCCTTCGATCGCGTTTGGCACAAAGCGCTTCTTTCGAAGCTCCCTTCCTATGGGCTTCCCGAGAAATTGTGCGATTGGATCACCAGTTTTCTTGCAGATCAGAGCATCAAGGTCGTTGTAGACGGTGCAAGCTCCGATTGCAAGCTTATTAATGCTGGTGTTCCACAGGGCTGCGTGCTATCGCCAACGCTGTTTCTTCTGCATATCAATGATATGTTGCAAACCCGTAGCATTTATTGCTATGCAGATGACAGCACTGGTGATGCTCTTTACACCGGCCGAGCCAATATTTCAGGACAAACTTGTGTCTGAAGTCGAGTCTCTGCTGGACAGAGTCTCGGATTGGGGGCGACTAAATCTAGTCCAGTTTAACCCCCAGAAGACACAAGTTTGTGCGTTAACCGCTAAAAAGAACCCCTTTGTCGTATCCCCTCAGTTTCAAGGCACTCCCCTTGTTGCCTCAGCCAGTATCGGAATCCTCGGCGTCGACATATCGAGTGACGTGCAGTTTCGTGGTCACTTGGAAGGGAAGGCCAAATTGGCCTCTAAAAAGCTTGGCGTGCTCAGCAGAGCGGGACAGTATTTCATGCCGGCACACCGCCTGCAACTTTACAAGGCGCAGGTTCGGCCGCTCATGGAATACTGTTCCCATCTCTGGGCTGGGGCTCCCCAGTACCAGCTCCTTCCACTTGACCGCATCCAGCGCAGAGCGGCTCGAATCGTCGACGACCGAGTGCTTTCCGATCGGCTCGATTCACTGGCGCTGCGAAGAGATGTTGCATCTCTTTGCGTATTTTATCGCATCTATCACGGGGAGTGCTCTGAGGAATTGTTCGGATTAATCCCAGCCGCCAAATTTCGTGAACGCACTACACGGCAAACGTCCCGATACCATCCACACCATCTGGATGCTTGGCGGTCCACCACTGTACGTTTCAAAAGGAGTTTTCTTCCGCGTACAACCTCTCTGTGGAATAATTTACCACCGGTGATTTTTCCTGACCGATACGACCTGGGGACCTTCAAGAAAAGAGCTTACTCCTTTCTAAAGGGCCGGCAACGCACCTGCAATTCCCCTGGTGTTGCGGTTGATCATGGGCGGCGGTAGTCACTTAACATCAGGTGAGCCACATGCTCGTTTGCCCCCTCTTCTATTAAAAAAAAAAAAAAGTTGTTGAAGGAGTTCATGTATTAAAGAAAATTTTCCTAAGTTATGGAAGGTGTTCACGTATAGACGTCTTGTATGGAGGAAGCTGCCGGAGGTACATACCTGCAGTTGTACATATATATGGGGTGGTCGGGAGCCCGACTGCCTGAAGTACTGTAGCACAATGACTAGTCCTATATTAGGGACTTATGATAATGTTACGCGCTCCAGTCAACGATACACTAGCGCCATCTAGTGTCAGGAACGAGAGCGAGGGGAGCATTGAGAAAATGACATCACAAATCACTCAACCGACAGCGCCTAGTCGAAACTCGAACGCTCGGTACCTTGCGCGTGTTTACTTGAACATTCTGGATATTTCTTTGCTAATTTAAATAAGTAGGCGCTGCAAGATGTGATCAGGGTAGACTTGAACTCGGCGAAACAAGCGAAGCTTCGGAGCGGAATAA